CACTACACCAGAAAACAGAGTGAAATCAATGCAGGTCTGAAATCTAATCTGAAACCAACACAAAATCTGATCTGATCTGAAACCCACACAAATCTGATCTGAAATCAATCGGCTATCACAGTATCAGGCAGTCTGTCAAGTTTTTTATCCTCTAGAGGAGCAATCTGAGATGCTATTATCTGAAACCACTGCTGTGGGGCCCACTGCTGCGGAAGCAGAATTCGGGTTTCAACTGTAGGTCTGAAATAAGTGCTCAGCTGCATTCTCCAAGCAGTCTGTACAAGTGGGACCTGTCCTAGGGTCAATATGAAACCCTAAAACTGATCTCTGAGAGAATGGGGGTTCGGCCCAACAGTCAAACCCTAGAAACAAACTTAAAACAGTTTGGCCTCTCCTTCTAGATAGGTCCAACCTATTTCGACTGATTGCAGTCTCTGAAACTAAAAAAAAAACTTACTAATGGATTTCGGTTTACTGCCTTCCAGGGTTGCCTGAACCCTAACCTTCGCTGCTTCTTCCTGATTACCAACTCTCTGCAAGCCGCGACAAGTCCTCAACTGCTGCAAACCTCTCCTAGTAATCTCCAAGAATCAGGCGCCAAATACTTCTTCATAAGCTTCCAGCCCTAGCTAGTCCTCATGTGATCGGCTGGACTAGACACACATGAGAAGCCTTAGATAGGCTCTGATACCWAGTAGAAGATCAAGACTGTAATCAGTCTTGAATCCTAATAGATTTTAGGTTTACAAAAGCAGAAGAAAAGTGAGAGAAAGGAGAAGGAAGAGAAGAGAAACAGGAGAACAAGGGGTTGAAAGGAGGGACAGATTCTAACACATCTGCCGCCGCCACACTCTTAATATTTATAAGTTATGTTTAGTACATAAAGGAAAGGACTAATCTGCCCTTAGTACTTACATGTTAAATAAAGTAAATAAAAACTGAAATAAATAACAACTGAATTAACAAACTGACCCAAACTGACACTACTATAACTGAAACAAATAACTACACATGCTGTCCTACGAACACAGTGGGGACCACTGCTGTGGGGCCCACATCAGTGTTCTCTACAGGTTTCTTGTATTGTTTTAATCTTTTGGTGATAAAACATTTTCATTCATTTATCAAAAAAAAAAAAAAACAAGAACAAGTGATCAGCATAATGCTTACCTTATCTGAAACATAATTTTTGCCAATAGCAGTATCCTGTAAGATGCGAGCAGCAATCTGAAATTTTATCAGTAGAATACATTAGTTAAAAATATGAATGACTAATGTGGATAAGTATACTACCAATTAATAAGATTAATAGAAACAATGTAATAGACATCAAGGGAGCTGGGTCTGCTAACAGTATGTTCAGTTCTGATTTCTGCATAGAGTTCTTGTTTTGGGATGGAGGGATTGGATGCTTTTCTAGGGTTGTTATTTCTTTTCATTTTTGTCTTTTTTTGGCAAAAAATCTCGTCTCAGCCTTTTTCTTGCACTTTGTGCATCTCTCCTTTTGCTCTTTCTAAATAAGATTTTAGGTATCTATTGAAAAAGTCAAATTGCTCCACAAACAGAAGTCAAACTATAGCCTAGCTTAACTATATGCATACTGGGTCAAGAGTTCCTTTATTTCCTTTTTAATCATTGAAGGACATAGAAAGATCTCCATCAAACCCATAAAAAAGTATTGAAATCCAATATAGAACATGAAGAATAGTCAATTCAAGAGTCCGGATCACCTGCCAACGGAATATGTTCCAACACCCTACCAACATCATCTGACACCATACGTCTCATACATAATGGTTCCCACTTTTATGGTAGGCCCCAGTTTCAATGTGAGATGTGTGATTTCAGATCAAGTTGGTGGGGTGTTGGAACATGTTTTATTGGGAGGAGATCCAACTCGAAACTCAAACCACTCAAACAAGAAAAGTAATTTGCACCTCAATAAAACAAGAAACCAAACTAAAATCCTTGACCCACAAGGATGAAACTATTTTAGAACTGTCCTAAATTGTCAATGCTAGTGAGCATTGAGCCAACAATATCTAAAGGTTGTAGAAATCAGGCTTTGCTGGATGACCAAACCTTACTCAAAGTTTCAAACAGGTGTAGTGTGGCCCAGATTCTGAGAACTAATGTATATGATGAAAACATTGGCAGTGCAAAGTAGAAGGGTGAAATTTAAATTATAATATCTCTCAAAGAACCATTCAACCTAAAAGCTTAAGCTGTTAACTGAGGTCCATGAATAGGCTTTATTCTCTAACATGCCTCTTCACACGAGAGCCCATTGGGCTTGAAGTGTGGACAGCACAGGTCCACCCATACCTTGTGCTGAAACTTAATTAATTATAATGGGGTGACGAGAATCGAACACTAGACCACTTGGTCAAAGTGGCTCTGATACCATCTCAAAGAACCATTCAACCTAAAAGTTTAAGCAGTTAAGTGAGGTCCATGAATAGGTTTTATTCTCTAACAATATCATATTCAATCACACCATCAACAAGGCATCATCCACTGAAGATCATACATTGAAACTATCTGGCCATTTATTTAATTTTTCTCTCTCATTTTGCATTATACTTACTTTCTACAAGGGTCACACTACCATAAAATTTAACCTCTGTTTTTATCTACTATTACCCCTTCACACCAGGTTAGGTTTTCTGCCCATTAATATCAAATTACCAATGAATTCTTTGATCTCATCACTGATGAAAAAGCTCATGCTTTGATCTAGGTATGGAGAGTAGTGGGTTGATTCCCAGATTCATCTTTCTGCAGCAATGCTCTTAGCTGTTGTTGTGTTGTGAACTAATTTACCAATATCACATTAATTGAAAATCGAGATGTTTTCAGTTAAACAAAATTTTTTGAACTTGTTCTTTGGTGATTAATGACAATTTAATAATTATAATTAAAAGAGAAATTTATGTTTTTTCGAACCACAATTATTAATAGATTGCTTTTTAATTAACTCACCCAGTATCATTGACTAAATATCCTCAGTTTCACTATAAAATAATCATCTGAACCACTGAAGATGTGTAATAGTTAATGATTGAACTCCACATTAATGACGCAGATCTACAAAGCAGGTCAAGTACCTCGCCACCATTAATGCCTCCCTCATAGCATGGTTTGAGACTGATAGCACGTTCAAGGTATGGTGTCCAGTGTCCAATGAGCAGGTCTCTCCTAATCATCTCAACACCACCTTGGTAGTGCTATATATCAAGCAAGGTCAGGATGCTAATCAAACATTTAATAAGGACTAATGTGAAAGGAGTGGCATCAAACATTTGAAGCAATTGATTGTACCTCAAGCATGTTTCTCAAAAAAGGTTCTTCATTAAAATAATCTCTGCGTACAAAAACAAATGGCAACTTGTATGCTAGAGCTTCACTGACTGTTCCATATCCAATTTTTCCTGAAACGACAGACTGTAAAATTAAACTTCAACTTTCCACCAAAATGAGTTGCTTTGACTCGTAACAAAAATTGTTTTGTATACCAAGCATGCAGTCAGATGCTGCAATCAGATCAGGCGTATAAACATCTTTTGCAAGCTTGATGAAGTTTGGGGGAAGCTCTTGGTCATCAGATGCGCCACATACCTGTTTAAGAGAAACATTAAGCATCTTTCTTATCAATTCATAGGAGAGAAAATTGCACAAAAACATAAATGATTGGACCATAATGTTGGATATATTTCATTCAGAAAATACCAGGCACATCCAACTAGCGGGCAAATATTCCTGCTTCAACTTCCAACCTGCTGGCTGCAAATGGTAGAAAACAACATAGAAACAAAATCAGGAACAAAGAAAGATACTCACATTTAATTACTTAAAAAAGCATCATTATCAACTCAGCAAAGTATCATCCTTGACATTCATCAATTAAATGAGATGAAAGAAATGGTGACGGAACTAAAGCAAACACTAATGTAGAAGAAATCCAAATTAAATGAAATACAGTAAAAATTTCAGATTTTCTAGAACTTGGTAATGAACTTTTCAACATAAAATTTCCTTTGATCTTGTCAATGATAACTTCTTAAGACATTCAACCTACAAAATTCAATCAACTTGCAGTGCAATAAAAATCTCACCTGTCCACCAAAGTTGAAAATAACTAACTTCACATCATCTCCAATCCCAAGCTCCTTTCTTACCTGTACCCGGAGGATTATGAGAAGGTCCCATTATGCAATAAAGTATGCCTTGAAAGAACATTAGAAAAGTTTCATGGCCTAAACCTCTGCTCGGGACTTGTGCAACCTCCTTACAACAAGGGGTACATCAATAACATCGCGAAAAGCAGGCACTGTATGTCAAGAAATACAAGTTAGAGTCGGTAAGAAATGATGTCCTATAACAGATGAATAAGTACATAAGCACAAATTTAAAAGGGAAAAAACACTTCATTGAAGCAATGAGCTTGAACTAACATACTTGGGCAGTACCCTGGTAGACGGATCAAAAACTCACAATGAGAATAATCTTCAGCTATCTGTATAAATTTTCAACAAACCAATCAGAAGGAGATAATCTCCAAGAAAGACATTACACTCAACATATAACAGATATTTTAATTGGAAATCAACAAAGCAGAATAGTAAGGCCCCTTGTTTAGGTCAACACAAACACAATACAGGATTGACCTTACACCATCACAAATTTCATCCCGGAGGCTCTGTCTGGTCCTTAAATTGTCTATTTACAAACACAAAAAATTGTAAATAGACAATTCTAAGATTGTTTTCATCAATAAGTCAAGAAACTGTTTGTGCAAAATATTTCTTTCCCTTGCTTTTGGAATGTATTATAGTTAGGCCCCCCAAATTCCATTAGGAAGTTCATTATCCATTGACAAGGAATTCATTTTAAGATTAGCAAAAGTAGGTGTTATTGGAAAACTTTTACCATGCCATTGTGTGGAACATCTGGGAAGAACATGGCAGGAGGATTTTTCAAGAGAGATCTTACTTGGAGACAAAGGTGGCCCTTCGTGCAATGATTGGGTTGCTTGCTCCATTGCAACATGGGTGAGCAGATTTCAGATCTTGGAATCGGCCTCACTGTGTGTGCAGGGGTAAGGCTGTGCAAATCTGTTGCTCCCCAGATCCTGCATTGCTGGGAGCCTCGTGCACTGGGCTGCTCTTTCTATCTTCTTACTTGGAGATGCCTGTTTGGTTCACATCCGGGGGCCCATTTCTCGTTCATTCTTGCCATTATTGCCAAGGTTGGGCAGGAATGGGCCAAAATGATATTTGGCATGGACACTTTTTTTTATAGGTAAAAACAAAAAATTCATTAAAATAAAAGAAAAATACAAGATGATGATGATAAGGCACCACCAATTACAACCATAATGAAAGGATCCAAACTCAGAATAAATTTTCCAAATTACAAATCTGAATTCCTAGCACTTCCCCTTAATTTTCCCCCAGTTCCTCTTTATCAATATGTCTAAATTCTGGACGAACCATAACCCAATCAGCAACCGACTTGCTTACAGCAGCTACTATCCTGTCCATGTTATAGAATCTGGCATAAAAAATTATTCTATTCCTTTCCTTCCATATGTTCCAACTTCCAACAATATTGTGAATGGCATGCAGCTCCAAATCACCTTAGTCTTCTTGGAACCTCTTAACTTTGGCCAAGCAGAAAAGATTTCTGCAGCTGAATTTGGATGAAAATCAGGTACCCCAAACATTTTGGTGAACAATCTCCAATGGAAGTCAGCAAACTTGCATTTGATCAACAGATGTCTGACATTCTCCTCTTGTTCCTCGCATAGGCAGCACCTATTCGCCATACTGAAGCCTCTTGATTTTAGATGATCCACTGTTAGAATACTGTCCATCGCCTCTAACCAGGCAAATGCTTCTACCCTTGGGGGAACCGGATTTCCCCAAACTCCTTCTGACTGGTTTGGATCTAAGCTGCTTCTGCTAAGTACTAGATAACAGGATTTCACTGTGAATTTTCCATTTGAGCATTCCTTCCACCAGAGTTCATCCCTCCTCTGAGGAGAGATCTTCACCTCCTCTAACTTCCCTAACAGTCTTATGCACTCCACCTCTCTATCCAGCAAAGACCACCTGAATTTTGGACTCCAGATCAACTGATCTCCTCTTCTTTCGTAGCAGTTACTGATGGTAATTTCAGCCTCAGCCAGCTTATACAATCTTGTGCACAACTCCATCAACTTGCCATCCCCCAATCCAATCATCCTCCCAAAACCAAATTCTTGTACCATCTCCTACTAAGAAGCTTATTAGGTTTCTGAATTCCCTAGTGAAACTCATGATCCTCTTCCATACACTCACCCCATATGAAAACCTTACTTCTCTAGGCTCCCAACCCAACCTTACCACCCCATCACCACCCTCTTCCACGAGGAATCCTCTTCCCTCCCTAACCCGAACCTCCATAACCATTTCCCCAACAAGGCCCTTTTGAAAGCTCTCACCCTTCTAATCCCTATCTCTCCCTCTTTCTTTGGTCTGCATACCTTGTCTCACATCATCAAATGGAATTTCTTTCCCCCTCCCCCCCTCCCAGTCTCTCCAAAAGGAAGTCTCTTTGAACTTTCTCTATTCTTTCGGCCACCTATGATGGGATTTTCAGCAAAGACAAATAATAAGTTGGAAGACTAGAGAGGAATCCTCTTCTCTCTCCCACATCATCACCACCCTCTTCCACAAGGAATCCTCTTCTCTCCCTAACCCAAACCTCCATAACCATTTCCCCAACAAGGCCCTTTTGAAAGCTCTCAACCTTCTAATCCCTAGCCCTCCCTCTTTCTTTGGTCTGCATACCTTGTCCCACATCATCAAATGGAATTTCTTTCCCCCTCCCCCTCCCCCCTTCCCAATCCTCTTCTCTCCCTAACCCAAACCTCCATAACCATTTCCCCAACAAGGCCCTTTTGAAAGCTCTCAACCTTCTAATCCCTAGCCCCTCCTCTTTCTTTGGTCTGCATACCTTGTCCCACATCATCAAATGGAATTTCTTTCCCCCTCCCCCCCTCCCAATCTCTCCCAAAGGAAGTCTCTTTGAACTTTCTCTATTCTTTCGGCCACCTATGATGGGATTTCCAGCAAAGACAACAAGGCACCAGAATTTGAAGCCACTCCTATTGGCATACCCAAATATGTGAAAGGAAGCTTTCCAATTCTGCATTCAAAAGCATTGGCACAGTTCAGAAGCACTTCCTCCTCAATATCTCCCACTCCTTCACTACACTTTTTGCAAGATTAACCTTCAGACCTGATAACAGTTCAAAATTTTCCATAAATGCCCTCAAGTTTAACACTTGTTCAACCAAAGCATCCAGGAAGATCAGAGTGTCATCTGCATACTGCGGAGGAGATATGCAAGGACCATCCCTTCCTACCTTAAAACCCTCAATTAAACCCCTTTGTCCATTTCTCCACAAAAGTAGGTTCAGAACCTCTATGACCAAAACAAATAGCATTGGGGAAATTGGATCTCCTTGCCTCAAGCCTATTGATGCTTGAAAAAACTCCGAAGAAATTCCATTTGAAAATGAAACTGTGGACATGCATGCATACATCCAAGATCTCCATCTTTCTCCAAAACTTATTAACCTTTGAACTTCCTCTAAAAGGCCCCATTTAAAGTGAACGTACACTTTCTCAATGTCAATCTTACAAACTAGGCCCAGTCTCCCACTTCTTAATCTGGCATCAATGCATCCACTTGCCACTAAAACACCATCTAAAATCCGTCTTCCTTCCACAAACGCCATTTGTGACTCCCCTACAACCTCATGTAGAACTCTTCTCAACCTTTTTGATAAAAATTTAGCCAACAGCTTATATTGGCTGCTAATTAGACTTATTGGTTAAAATCCTTCAGATTCACTAATACCTTCCTTCTTTGGGATCAAGGAAATAAAAGTAGTATTTGTTGATTTCTCCAACTTTCACTCTCTATGGAATTCCTGAAACATCAGTTCACAGTCTCTTTCCAGAAGGCTCCAGCATGACTTTATGAATGTAAAGTTGAAGCCATCTGGCCCCGGGGCTTTGTCCCCATTTATGCTTTTAAGGCCTCTTTGATTTCCTCCAAACTGAAATCACTTTCAATCTAGGAAATTGATGTTTCATCCAGATTTTTGGGAACCAGCTCCCCTAGCAACATCCAATTCCATACTCTTGAAGTATACAGCTTCTTATAGAAATCCACTACATTCTCATAAATTCCAGACCACTCCTCCACTACCTCCCCTCTACCTGAATTCTTGAGATTAAATTTTTTTCCTCCTTGCACTAGCATAGGCGTGAAAAAACACTGTATTTTTATCACCTACTTTCAGCCAAGTCAGTCTGGACTTTTGTCTCCAGCTTTCCTCCTCCCTATGAATCAAAATTTTCAACTCTAACTCCAATCTGTCTCTCTCTGCTCTCTCTTCTCTATATAGATCCCCCACCTCTTCCAGCCTATCTAAGTTAGCCATTTTCTCTTAGATTTATTTTTTTCTTACCCCCACATTACCACTGACACATTCCATCTCTTTAATTCCTCCTTCAGAAACTGCAACTTTCTGACCAATTTCAACCCCGATGATCCCTCCAATTGCTTTCTTCACCCAATCCAGGAAATCTGGATGATCCATTCACATGTTCCCAAATTTAAATGGTCTTGGGCCTGAAGTCACTACCAACTTTCTGAGCAGAACTGGCTTATGATTTGACATAATATATAGCAAGGCTTCTTGGATCACTTTACCTATGTGGTCCACACAATCTCTAGTATATAGGAATCTGTCCAGCCTTCTTAAAATAGGAAGAGATTGACCATTCTTCCAGGTATATCTGCACCCATTTATGGGTGGGTCAATTAGCCCTTTTCTCCTGATAAAATCCCCAAACCTCCTCATTCCTGCACTTTCACTTTCATCCCTGCCCCCTTCCATCTCCCCCACTCTTCTAACTATATTGAAGTCTCTGCTCAAACACCACGGACCTTCCCACTCCCTTCTCGCTTCTTCCAGCTCCTCCCACATTTCCACCCTTGCCCCTTCTACATTTGGACCATAAACATTTGTGAGTCCCCATTGCCATCCCCTTTCCACCATCTGAAAGGAAATTGAGGTGGAATATCTCCCTTTTTTTACCCCCATTTTGCCGATACTTCCGGAATCCCATAACACCACCAAGCCTCCTGAGAGGCCCTCCACATTACCTCTGCCCAATCTCCACTACTTGAACACCCCAAATTCCATTCTTCAAGATCATGTCAAAGGCTTCCAGCTTAGTTTCTTGTAGTAGCACCATATCAGGAATGTGAATTCTCAAAAAATTCCTAACTCCCTTCTTCTACCTTCTCTCAGCCCTCTCACATTCCACGCAATCAATTTCTTTTTCTAGGCTTAAATTCCTGCTCATTTTTGGATAGAAATTGAATAGGTGTCCATACCAAAGAACCCAGATGAAATGTGATGACATGTTCTGCATATTTGAGAATACCTATTCAAGCTAATAAAGAGCAATGTTGGATAATAGGCATTCATTTCCAAGTGGGACCCACAAATTATGTTCGAATTTCACATGTAAGGCCCACCAGTTCTTTTATAGAAATTTCTCATATATGTTCAAATTTGGAAGAAATGTAGTGGCATGTCCCACCAATTCTTTTTATAAAAATTTCTCATATATTTTCAAATTTTGAAGAAATGGGGTGACATGTCCCACATATATGGGGCCCACCAATTCTCTTGTGAGGCCAACCAATTCTCATGTGGGACCACTGGTTTCTCATTTAGGGCCCACCAATTATGTTCAAATTTCTTATGTAGGACCCACCAATTTTTTATAAAAATTTCTCGTATATATGGATAGTAAACAGCAAGACCTTTGCTTGCTATAACCTGGATGACCTGCAGAGAAACTGGCCAGAACTTATGCTTACTACTCGGGCTAGCCACCAGCCTCCCATTACGATTGCCCCTAGGCGTGAGTTGCCACCTCTCAAACAGATTAAACAGAAACTAAAGCATAAAATACATAAAGGCTAATACAAAATTACAGTTGAGCCCAGAACAAAGCTTCCCTATTTGCCCCCTGTTTTTCCAAACAATCAGAAAAGGCATTTGATGATCTCCCCACCCCTTGTATCTTATAGACATATTCCTTGTCACCCATTGTATCTCCCCACCCATTGAATCAATTGGCTGATAGATTAGCTAAATCTGGGTTTGAAGGGAGTAATTGTACAGTTTAAATACAATGCCAATGAATTAGTGGGGTTTGTTTTTTGCTTTTGGTTGGCAATGCACTTTGTACATCCTGTCCCCTTTTTTGAGTAATGAATATCTGTTACCTTTTCTCAAAAATAAGTCACCAAACTATACCATGACTCTTCAAGTATACTTGAAAACCATTTACCTTATAAATAGCCTTATTATTTTTTCCTGCCAAGTATTTAGAATGGATTTTACCCATTTACCTTATTGAACAATTCAATGGATGAACCACTTCATCAAGTGAAGAGACTATTCCTAATACTAGATAACAGAAATGACTGACATGATTTAATTTGTATATCCTGCTATCCTGGTTAGCCAACAGTGTGAAACATTTCTGGTCAATCTTCCAGATCTGGTCTATTTGAGGCTACAGGAATGCTCCAAAGGACTTGATTATTTGATAAATTAATCTAACCAACACCTCAAAATCAATAATTTGTGCTTGGAAAGATCATGTTTTCTCTTACCAAACTCAACACAGTTTGTTGTGGTTGATAAGATTGTATTCTATTATTCTATCCCAGTTATTTTGGATTCTAGAGTTCATTTCACAATGTATAGTTACAAGTTACAACCATGAACTACCATTTTATCCCAGTCTTTCTTGCCTTTTTTTAGTATAGTCAATCTACTTGATAGGGTCTATTTGAGATTAGAAGAATGCTCCAAAGGGCTTGATTATTTGATAAACTGATCTAATCAGAACCTCAAAATCAATAGTTGTATTCGAAAGATCAAATTTCCTTTACCAACCCCAACACAATTTGCTATGGTTGATAATATTATACTCTACTATTTTATCCCAGTTATTTTGGATTATGGAGTTCATCTCACAATCTAAAGCTCTACCTATGAATTAACTTGCACATTTTTGGCCAAAGGTTCTCTTGCTAACTTTTGTTATGAGGTAGTGGGTGGTTATATAGAAAGAATTAGAAACCACAAAAGTTGTAGGTACATTCCCTTTTCAATTGAATTTCATAAGCAACTTAATATGAGAGTTGCCTTGATTTGTTTGCATTTCTTTCTTTCCATTGGTCTAGAGATACATATCAAGTTGCCAACTCAATTTGGATGAATTTGTTCACTTCGATAGGACACTGTTAGGTGAAATATATGGTCATTACCAATTTCATAATTAAATGGAAAACCAGCACCCTTTGGTTATAAAGGCAAATAGGATGTTTTTTTTTATCAATTTCATTAGAAATATTTAAAAATTACAAGATAGGGAGAGGTAAACTGTCTTAACTCTCCACAGACAACAACTATTACAATTGAGCCCAGAACAACTTCCTCGCCACCCCTTGTTTTGCTAATGCATCAATAAAACCATTTGCTGCCCTTTTAACCCAGCTGAACTGCACTTCCATATCTTGAATCATCCAGCTTTGAATCACCTTCTACAACCATCCACTTCAGATCTTTTGCCTTTTGCAATCCTTCCATAACAGCCATAAACTCAGCCCTTAGGGAGTCACCTATTCCAATCAGGCCTGAATATAGACTAAAGGTCTTGCCTTTATTGTCCCTAAACACCCCTCCAATACCAGATGGGCCTGGATTCCCAGCACTACTCCCATCAAAATTTAACTTAATGTAGTCAACCATTGGAGGAGACCAAGCAGGGCTTATATTAGAATTGTGGCAATCAGAACTAGCCACTTCCTTCCATTTGTTCATGATATCACCTGTGGAGAAATCAAGGCAAATAGGATGTTGACACATGTTATATGTTGGTGTATTTGAGGAAAGATGCAAAATAGAATCTTCAGGAGAAGGGTTCTCTCAACTCAGTCCATTATTTGAAGCATATCTTATTCCATTTCATCCTGTGCATCTGCCTCCAACACTGCAAGGGGATCAAACTAAGTGGCCAAGTTATACACTGTAACTAGGTATCACCTATCACGGTCCTTACACCATTCACTTCCTTCCAGGGTGAATTACCTCAACTAGGTTTGAGGATATCTATTTAACAATAATGTGGTGATAGTTTATTGTTTTGTAGAGTTCGAGATGCTTAGTCTACTGTTCTGGATGGGTTTGCTATAAACTAAAGGCTCTGGGCTATTTAGTTGAAAAGGATGTCAAAAATTCAAATAATTAAGGAATCACCAAGAGTTTTGAAAGCTAGAGTCTATTGAATTCCATTAAGAATTTCATGTATTAGTACAATCCACAAAAAGGGCATTTCCTGTGTGTGACAAGAAGCATTAACCAACTGAAGATGACTTGCCAAGTATTTAATGGAGTGGTGGGTAGAGTTTCTATATCTAAAGCCTCATCCACAATGTTGTAGTCCTCTTAATGAGGTATATTTTGTTATCCATCAAAGGGGAAAGAGAAACAAAAAACTGCTTTGCCTGAAACTTAGTTCTTCCATTCAAAGAAAATTGGAATGTACTGTTTTTACAAATTTAATTGTTTTACCCAAAAAAGATTGGCTGATTGTATTTTAACTAATCCAAGGAAGATAACAGATAACATATATAACATTAGGAGTGATAGAGACCTAAAACTAAAGAAAAAGGAGTAACCGACCCCTGAAAGAATCAACTTTCTAACCGCTCAAGTGGGAGGATTTGCGAAAAAATTGGATTCATTGTTTCAATTAAGTGTATTCTTTGGTTTTGGTTGTCACATATGGTTCTCTACTCTACACTTTCCTATATTAATCACTACAAAGTTTCGGCTACCAATTAAAAAACAGAAAAATGGAGGCCATTTCAATTTATACAGAATAAGATAAAAAAGTTCACCTGCCAAACAATTGAACGATGATTATATCCAGCAGCCATAACATATTCTGCATAGATGAAGTCCCAACTGTAGAAGTTTCATTGAAATTAATTAGGACTGGTTACATAAATCCTGAATTACTAAAGTCCGAAATGAAAATAATAATATCTCCCCAAAATGGAAAAAATACATCAATTTTAAAATATTTTCACAAAATTTCTGCAAAACTTTGTACCTGTTTCTTTTTTTATATAAAATTGGGAGCTTTCATGAATATTTTTGATAAATTTGTAAAAAAAAATTATGTATACCTTTGCCACAGTAACAATTTCAGTTGCACAAAGGTTAGTGAGGTAAAAGTCAATAAAGATCTAAATACTATCAGGATAAAAGATTACCTAAAGTTGGTGACACAAACAGAACGGATCCCAGCATCTGCTGCTGCTCGGCAAGCAACAGGAACAACATCCGAAACCTTTCCACAAAAGCACTAATAAGCATAAAAAATGCTACCAAAGACAGCTCTTACTGATGGGAATATAATTCCAATATAAGCTACCCCATGTATATACTAAAGTATATCAGAAGTTGGGATAACATAGGCAAATTACAAAAAAAAAAAAAAAAAACAAAACAAAAGAAAGTACTCAAATACCACTAAGTCAGCTTTGATGGAGTTTAGCCACTCCACTTCGGTTGCTAAAATAGAAGCTCGAGGTGCCACAGCTGTCTGTGAATACTGTAGCAACATATCAAAAGGAAAGGAAAATAAAAATCAGTGCATAAGAATGATAAGGTCTAAGAAAAACTAGAATAAATATTATGAAAGGCAGCAAGTAATGTGAGTTCTCAAGCATAAGGAGAAACTACCATGGACAACTTTTTAGAATTATCACTACAGCAGAAATAAATTTTAGAATTTTATAGTTATCTAAAACTCACAGTCCTTTCTTATTCCATCATATAGACAATACCTTCTCTAAGGAGGCAAGACGATCAACTGTTAGAGCATCAGCTTGAACAGCTCCACAATCCAGCAAAACCTGTTAATCCGTGATAAATTTTTTATTACAATGAAAGTATGGAGTGAAATCCAAACAAAGAGGGCGTAAACCATGGGAAAGATCATTTCTTTGCAACTTACCTTGCGAATGAAGAGCCTTGGAGACTCTATTTCTGTAGTGAAAACAAAGTCAGGAGCACCAGTAACCACGTGAACATCATGCCCAGCTAAAATGAGATGCCGAACAACCTGGGAAATAACAACTCAAAAATTAAACAACAGTTGTTCAACTCATCACCGCCTCCGCATTAAACATTAAAAAGTTGAGGAATCCAAACAGTCGCCATAGCAGCAATTCCTCAAAGTAATTGGGCAAATTCAAATAATAGCGAATTCAAACATTCCACAAAATCAGGAAAACATGATCAAATGAACGCTGTTTTACAGGAAAAAAAAACAGAGCCAAAGCCAATAAGACATTAATCAAAAGGTCATCCCTGATAATATCATAGTCATCAAAGAACAAACTCACACCCCTTTATCAAAATGCATTCTTTCGAACTTCCATAGATTGAAGAGCCGAAAAACAGTGGAGAGAGAGAGAGAGAGAGAGAGGTTCACTGACCTCGACAACGCGAGTGGCATGACCGAAACCGTGACCAGTGACGTAATACGCAAACACGAGATGCTTTCGTGATGCGGAAACATGATCGCCGTTGTCGATCCTCATTTTCTCTGGTCACAGAGAGCAGAGCAACCCTAGAAAAGGAGAAGTGAATTAAAGAAAAACAAGGGATATAGATCAAAAACCTTAACCCCAAAACCATTTATATAGGATTTTGCGAATTCTGACATTACCGGAAGGTTGGCGGGTAACCGTTATCTCTCAGGAAGCAGTGTTTCGTCCGGAGTGCTAACTCAGAGTCAGAGAGCTGAGCGACTCTCTATAACGTCTGTTTTTCCTATTTTTCTCGTTTCCGTTTTTATCCTTACATTTTGGTTTATTTCCATCCGGTTTTGAAGTGGGAATGCAGATGCAGGACTCTTGGGACAGGTCTGGTATTTCTTGAGAAGAAATAATAGTTTCGAGGTCGAACAATTAAAGTTGACATAATTGAATATATGACTTGGATAACATTTACGTAACAAACTTGACTCGGCAGAGGCCTGATCTCTCTTCATACCCAAGAATATAGGTAAAATTAAGTTCAATCTTCACCGTCCATCTCATTATCAGATGTCAACATCTGATGACATGATCTAGGGTTGCAATTTGCAACTGGTAAGTCTGGTATCCGTCTATTAATTGGATCGAATATGGATCTACCCCATCCAATCTGATATAATCCCTATATATTCAATCCAATTTAATTGGATTTAAATGTATATATTTAAATTTTATATGTTATCTATGAGAAAAGTTGGGTTGGATGAGTCATTGGTTCAAGTTTGGAAAAGATATGATATCTGAAATTGGGATCATAAATGTGGTAGCCAATTAGGTGTTATTTATCAAAATTTATGGGTGGGTTTTGATTGGTCAAAATTTTTCATACAATATCTTTTCTATATTAAAATAAGGAAGTCTACAAATTTTCTTCTTCTTTTGAATTTTTTATTTTTTGAATTTTATGTTATTTTTTGAAACAATCAATGAGATGTATCTTCCCAAAAACCTAAATAATCTCTTCTCCTAAATTTTATCCTAAACTACCTCCACCATTATCCCCCAATTTCTCTTAAATTATCTCTATATCCTATTTATCTTCTAAATTACCTCTAATTCCTTATTTGTCTTCAAAATTATTTCTAATTTAGTAGAGAGTTTCTCTCCTAAATTATCTCTAATTCCTATTTATTCTCTCCCTCACTTTCTATCTATATCTATCTAAAGAAAGTTTGGATTAAAAAATTTAAAAATTATTTAAATATTCTAACAAAATTATATAATAACTTTAAAATATTTATTAAACACAAAAAGTAATTTTATATTTGTACAAAATATATCACGAAATTATGTACCAACAATTTAAATTCTATTTTCCAGATTATCAATTTAAATGTTATTCAAATAATAAAAATTTAACATTAAAAATAAATCTTATTTAATATTTCAATAAATAAATATCTTAAATAGAAAAATATTATAAATATATAAATAATTATATAAAAATATTTAATAATATGTAATAGCTTTAAATAAATAAAATTCAAATAAAAATTTTTTAAATGTTTTACATATATTATTTAAATATTTAAATAACTAAATATTTAACATACCTAGACTTTAAATAGTTAAAATAACAAAAATATATAATAAATTTAAAAAATTCTTAAAAGTATAAAAATAATTATAACATAATATTGACAATAATAATAATTTAATATCTTACAAAATTAATAATGAAATTATGTAGCAATAGTATAAATTATAATTTTATGGATTATTCAATTCAATAAGTAACAAAAAGTTTTAAATATTTTACATATTATTTAAATATTTAAATAAATAAATGTTTAACATACTTAGATTTTAAATAGTTAAAATAACGAAATTACGTAAAAAATTTAAAAAATATTCTTAGAAGTATAAAAATAATTATAACATGATATTGAAATTAATAATAATTTAATATCTTACAAAATTAATCATGAAATTATGTAATAACAGTACAAAGTATAATTTTATGTATTATTAAATTCAATAATTAATTATTATTTTAAATTTTAAATATTTTACATATTATTTAAGTATTTAAATAACTAAATATTTTAAATAACAAAATATTTGACATAACTAGATTTTAAATTAGTTAAAATAAAGAAATTATGTGATAAATTAAAAAATCTGAAAAGTAGAAAAATAATTATGACATATTATTCAAATTAATAATAATTTAATATTTTACAAAATTACATAATATTGTAAGTAACTAATTTCACTTATATCAATTAATAATTCAAGAAAATAATTTTCATAAAAAATAATTTTAAACTCTTAATATATATTTCTTATATAATTATATATATTAATATTAATGTTTATTATATTTCAGTAATTATTTATTTTTTTGTGATAGATGTATTTTCAATAATTATGTATAGATTTATATTTGTTTTGTTATTTAATAGAAAACTTTCAATAATTATTGAAGATTAAACTACTATTATTGAAGTTTTCAAAATTTGTTTATTGTATTTTTGTTATAACTTATTGATTATTATTTATTAGAGATTAAACTATTATTTGAGATTATACTATTTATTGACTAATTTAATATATTTTTAGTACTTATTGTATTTTCATTATCAATATATTTTCAATAGTTGTGTATTTTCTTTATAAATTTTCAATAATTATTGGAGATTAAACTATTATTGTTTATCAGAAATGAGACTATTAATTTAGTTGAAATTATGAATATTCATGAGTTGGTCAGGTTGGGGAGTTGGTCAGCTGAAACCGACTGACCATTTGTGAAAACTAACCCAGTTAGGTTATACCGGTTTGGGTCAATTTTTTTGGTTTGGTCAGTCGGTTCAAAAGATTTAAACTTAAAAGTTAAATTTAAATTTAAAAATTATAGTGCAATTATTAAAAATTTAAATTTATGATATAAAATATTTTAGACTAAGAAATATGGGAAATTTCCCACTTTTCCATATTAAAATTTATATTTAAAATATAAAATATTAATATATATCAATGATCAAGTCATGCGATTTTGGTCAGTTTACAAATGGCCAAAGTGAAACTGATCCAACTTGGTTGAGTTAGGAATTTTTTTAACCAAAGCCAAGCTAAAAATACTAGAAAATCGACCAACCCGGGTCGAGTTGTTCGGGTTGGTCGGTTTCACCAGTTTAACGAATAAACCTAATTGAAGTTAATTATTATTATTATTTTCGTATTATAAAAATTATTAAAAGTAGTATATAAAATATGAATAATTAAAAAAGTTGAAAATATAAAATAATTGCATACTCTTATGTTTTTCTATTAGGATCATTTACTAGAACACACCTTATAGTTTTACATATTTACGTAAACCTACCTTATAGTTTTCATTTTACGAAAATATCCCATATATTTTTCAACTTATTTACTTAATCAACCTTTCATTAAGGAGTGTTTGTTTTGCCATTAGCTCATGATTTTTTATTCCAAAAATTCCGTAACACTTTTTTGTATAGAAAATAAAATTGATCAAATATAGCCAATATAGTGGTTGTTGGTGTCTTATTGAGGGCAAAAATGGTATTTTATTTTCTTTTGATTAAATTTATTTAAATGAATATTAGGGTCAACATTGTCATTTTCCACTATCATCTAATGGAAGATTGATTAAATCCATTGCAAATTATAAATGGTGTTTTAGTAAATGACCCTTTTTATTATTTAGCTTTCACTTAACAAATCTTGTGCATAGCGATCCATGTGTGTGTAAATATATATTAAAACAAGGCAATCAAGAAATTTTCTCGTTTTTTTGAATTTTTTATTTTTTTATTCCATGTCATTTTCGAAACAACCAATGAGATGCACTTTCCCATAACATAAATAATCTCTTCTCCTAAAATTTCGCCTAAACTATCTCCCCCACTTTCTCCAAAATTATCTCTAATTTAGTAGAGAGTTTCTCTCCTAAATTATCTCTAATTCCTATTTATCCTCACCCTTACTTTTTATCTATATCTATCTAAAGAAAGTTTGAATTAAAAAATTTAAGAATTATTTAAATATTCTAACAAAATTATATAATAACTTAAAATATTTATTAAAAACACAAAAAATAATTTTATATTTGTACTAAATATATCATAAAGTTATGTATTAACAATTTAAATTATGTTTTTCCGGATTATCAATTTAAATTTTTTTCAAATATTTAATAATATGTAATAGCTTTAAATAAATAAAATTCAAATAACAAAAACATTTAAACATTTTATAGATTATTTAAGTATTTATCATAACTAGATTTTAAATAGTTAAAATAATGGAATTATGTAATAAATTAAAAAATTTCTTTAAAGTAGAAAAATAATTATAACATAATATTGAAATTAATAATAATTTAATATTTTTACATAATATTGAAAATAACTAATTCCACTTATATCAAGTAATAATTCGAGAAAAAACTTTCAAAAAATTATTATTTATTAATAATAATTTTAAACTCTTAATCTGTATTTATTATATAATTATATACACTAAAATTAATATTTATTGTATTTTAGTAATTATTTATTGTTTTTATGATAAATGTATTTCAATGATTATGTATAAATTTATTTTGTTTTGTTATTTAACAAAAAACTTTCAATAATTATTGGAGATTAAACTACTATTATTGAATCTTTGAAATTTAATTTATTGTACTTATTGTATTTATTGTATTTTTGTTATAACTTGTTGATTAATTAATATTTATTAGAGATTAAACTATTATTTGAGATTATACTATTTATTGACTAAACTAATATATTTTTAATACTTATTATATTTTCAATATTGTGTATTTTTGCTATAAAATTTCAATAATTATTGGAGATTAAACTATTGTTATTCTTCGGAGATAGGACTATTAATTTAGCTAAAATTATGAGTGTTGATGAGTTGGTTTGGTATAGTCGTAGGCTATTTGGCAACCAAATTGACCTGGTCAGGTTGGGGAGTTGGTCAACTGAAATCGACTTACCATTTGTGAAAACCAACCCACTCACCGGTTTGGGTTGGTTTTCACAAAAAGGTCAGCCGGTTCAAAAGATTTAAACCTAAAAATTAAATTAAATTTTAAAAATTATAATGCAATTATTAAAAATAAATTTAAAAATTAGATTTATGAAATAAAACATTTTTTACTAAGAAATATGCGAAATTTCTCACTTTTTCATATTTAAAATATAAAATATTAATATGTATCCATGGTTAAGTCATTCGATTTTGGTCGGTTTA